TGAGTTAGGGTCAGCAACCTGCTATCTGGGAAACATCCGGCCCATTTGGAGTGTTGGTGATGGGTCAGGAGATTGAAATACTGTGAGAGGCAGCCATCCGTGGACTTGGCTTCTGTGTTTTTGGATGATTTTGTGGAAGGTACAGCTGCTGAGCTATAGGCTCATCTCCCCTGAGGCTCACAAAAAAAACAAAACTCCTATTAAAAGGAGTGAGTGCCACTTCCCACGGGCTGGTGGGTCATTCTTGGGGGCACAGGGGTACAGGTCTGCTGCCCGCAGGCTGTCATGGCCACCCTTCCTCCCCACACATCAGCCTGCCCCAGGCAGGGTCACAGGCTGTGTTAAGGCAAAGCAGTGAATGAGCAGAGGCTCTCACTCAGAGACACAGGTGGAAACAGGAGACGGGAAATTTGGGGAACAGAGCACTGGGGCTGGTGCCCCCATAGGTGCCAGAGGAAGGCAATGATCTGCTTTTCTCTGTGCCAGCTCAGGGGCCCATGACTTTAGCGCAGCCCTGCCTGCATTCTTGTTCTGTGTACCGTCTTGGCAGCAGGCTGTGGCCTGTCCTGTGTGTGCAGGTCTCCAGGCCAGTGTAGCCTGCAGTGACCGGTGTGGCCCACTTGCCTGTGAAACTTGGCAGTTTTGTTACGTGCTTGTTTCATCGTGTTTATTCCTTTCTCCGAATCCTATCATTGTGTTCTTGCAGCTGTGTGACATGAGTGACGCAGTGTTGGATACGTGTGAGGGGGATTTTCAGGGTAAGCGCCCCGGCCTCGCCTCCTGCCCCTCGCCCTAGCTAGGCAGGTGGCAGCTCTCTGCTCTGCTCTCTGCATGTGGCTCAGGCCAACCGCATGGCAGCTGCTCTTGTCTCTGGCCTCAGGAATGACCAGATCCATGAGCTCCTCTGACATCTTGGGCCCACTGGCCTTTTTTATGTCTTTCGGTTAGGAGCTGAGGGGAGGAGGGATGAACACACAGGGAGGCCGAGCTCTTTCCCCCACCTTCCCGTTCACCGGAATCACCTGCTCTCAGCCTGCCTGCCTTCCTTTTCCCTTTGGCTCAGGATTGAAAGGAAGTAGAACTGTACTCACATCACAGATCTGAACACCGGATTGCCTACTGGGGGGTGTCCACCACACACACCTTACCCAGGGTATGTCCCAAGGGCTGCCTGTCACAGCAGCATGATCCCCCATGTGGCCTGGATTGTTCTGTGCCCCAGCACTCCTCTTAGATGCAAAGCCTAACATGAAACAAACGGCAAATCCTCAAGAATCTACAGTATTAGAATTCATCCTGAGCTTGCCTTTCCCCAGCCAGATCCCTCCTGTTCAACTCAGTAACACTTCGGGAGCATTTATGCCAGGTTCTGCCCAGCTTTCTCTCTTAAGAGCAAATGCTTAGAACTAAAATGGAGGCAAGAACATGAAAGAGGCCAGAAGATATCAGATGTTAGTCTCATTGGAAGAGCAGCCAGAACAACCCCCCTGCCTCTCAACTCTCTGATACTCCCTAACGTTAAGCCTGTGGTCATTTTGATCTGCTTCCACAAGGGTCCCCATCCCCATGCCAGTGGGGCAGCTCCAACTCCTGCTCCCTTCCCCTTCCCTCAGGGCTCTGAGTTGAACGTTCCCCTCAAGCCTGTTTGGGGCTGGCAGTCTTGAGATGATGTCTGCGCTCTCCTTGAAATCGTCACTCCAGTCCCTGACTACTGAGGTACAGGGAAGGTGACCTTGCTTAGGTCACAGTCCCACATGTGGCACATGGGACTGGAGAAGGGCACAGCAGGCTCTGGGACAGAGGTGGTGGCACTGGCTGAGCTGAGCCTCAGACCCCCGGTCTCTGCTCGTCAGGCAGCATGAGGTCAGGCTGGGCTGAGAACTGTGGGTGGGTGGTGGTGAGAGAGGTCCTCTGTCCCAGAACTTCCATGTTTGTATCATGTATGTCTGTCCACCTGTTACGGTTTTCCTTGAGCTGAATGTTTTTGAAAACTCCCTTAAAAATGAACCCTCTCCCCCGCGTCTAGCCCAGGGCTGCCTCCCTTCCAGGTACACTTCCTCTGTCAACCTGAGTGTGGCACTGGGCTAAAAGGAGGCTAAGGAAGAGAGTAACACCAGAGTAGAAATCCAGGATCTGTGGTGTGGGCTCCCTCCTGGTCTACCTAGCCCCCAGCATCAGTGGGCTCACCTGTCCCCACCCTGGAGCCACAGCTTGAGCCACTACTACTCTCTTTCCTGAGCTGCTGGCTCAGGCCACGCATTGGTGGTGCCCACTCGCAGTGGCCTGCATCCCAGTTGCTGAGCACTGTCCATTCTTTCTGATCACCTCCCAGAAAGGGCTTCTAATAAGAACAGAACTTGAGTAGCATTCCGATGCTCGGTTTTCCACAATCAGGAAGCAGCTTGCCCCATCGTGCGGGGTCCCGAAGAAGCCCCTCTGCCCGGCCTCCGTCAGCCACCCAGCATGAACTTTCAGTTCAGAGAGAGCACCACCTTAGGGCGCTCCATTTACTCACAAAAATCGATTGTTTCCCCGATCTCATAACCTGAGCCTGCAGGCTCTGGGAACTAAATGCAGGCCTGGAATCCCCCCAAAGATAGAGACCACCCAGAGAGCATCCCTCTTACTGGAAATTGAGTACAGGGTGTCAGTGTAAGTTGACATGTCTGGGGAGGCTGTGTAGCGATCCTCTGAACTGTGGAGCAAAATGTGGGTGCTCTGCCCTCCAGGCTCGCGAGCAGCAGCAAACTGGTCAGTCTTGCCACAGAATGCTTCAGCTGGCCTCTGCCAGCTGGCCCTCAGTGGCCAGAGCACCACCGCTTCCTAATGCTGCCTGTATTGCTTGCCACCAGTGTCCCCTCAGCCGGACGCTCCTTCTCAGCCACCTCACTCTCTCCCAACTTGCAGATCTTGTCCAGTTTGATATCCCCTCCATCCACGTAGAGCTCGGGTCGACGCTGCGCCTGAGTCCCCTGGAGCACGTGCGGCGACACTCAGTGACTGAGAAGAGGGACTCAGAGGAGGAGTCTGAGAGCACCGCCCTCTGACATGGCGCCCCGCCCCCAACACGCGTGTACATACATGAGCCCCAGACAGACACATACCGCCAGAGCTCCCTGGGCTTGCCAAGTGTTCTCCGTTGGCTCCTTGCTGTCACTGCCAATTCGAGGCTGGGGTTTTGCAGAAAACTGCCTTCTCCAGCCCGTGTGGCAACTGTTGGTGGTACAGATTGTGTTTGTTCCCTTCAGGTGGTGACTTTGGCCTTTTTTGTTTGATCTTTGCCTTTTGACTTTGTGCCTATGTTAATCCACTTTCAATGTCCATACTAAGCAACACCCCTCTCTTGGCCCAAGAGAGTGCCTGAGCAGGGTGGGGGTGTGGGGGAGCCGTCTGTTAGACTTGACAGCTAACATCCAGCCTGGCTATGTCAGCTGTAGTGTAAGGGGACCCTTTCTCTTTCTTCAGGACGCCTGGAATTCTAGGCATCCTGGGGCACAGACTTTTGCCCGCTGAAGGGGAGGGTCGGCCAGTATGAGGGCCTTTAGGGCTGCCATTAATGGGTGGCTTCTGGAGTAAAAGGCTAAGAACAGAAATTGTTTCTCTTCCCATGACTACCTTACTGTTTCATACATCTGATTTTTCAAAGAATATGTTTTTGAGGGGGTTTGGAGGACCCAAAGGTAGCTCCCCATGTCCCAAAATGAGATGTTAGACATAATTCCACTCCTTCACACTCCCAGGGCTGCCCTGCTCACTGGGTATGTGGGGTCCAGGAGCCTGCCTCTTCTTTCTGGAGGTATCAAGTGAATAGCAATAATTCTGTTACCCAAAGCATGCAAAGGACCGTGGAACCAGCCAGCAGAGCCTGCAGGTTAGCACGATGGGCCCCCTGGTGCCACCAGCCTGGCTTCCTGCACAGGTAACCCCCTGTCTCTTGGAGTTTCCCCCACTCTTGGGGAGGAGGGCCAGGAAGGCACTGGGGGAGGGAGTGGATGAGGGGGCTGAGTCACACGTGGAGATAAAGGGAGCGAGAAACAGATTCAGATCATGCATGCAAAGTCAAACTTCATAGTTTTATCCTTTTAAAATAGATATGATATACCTATACATTGCTATAATATTTGTATATATGAAATCTCTTTATATTTGTTTAATTTGAGCCATTCAATCTAAACCAATGTACAGATGTACAATGAGAAACTTAAATGCTCAGTTATTTTTCCCAGCACAGTGTAAAATAACCGTGAACTGACAGCAGGATTTACAGATTTTTGATGTTAACAGCTTTGCTCACTTCCTGGTCAAGGGTAGTTCAGTACCCAATTTGTAATGGAGCCCGGGGATTGAAAGTTACCTCTAAATACATGTACAAATAGTTGTCAAAAGTAATGTTATTAAAATAGATTTATTATCCCTGAGCGTGGCGTGGCACATCTTGTTTTAATAATGAACTTGTGGCTGCCTCAGGAAGAACCTGAGGTCCAGGTTCAGGGAAGGCCAAGCCCTTAATGTGGGTCTCTCATCCTCTGAGTTTGGAAATCTCTTGCTCTGTATTCTCCCGAGTGGGGAGAGTACATAAATAAATATTAGATTCACTGAAAATGAATTTTGTCAATTTCCCAGCACTAACCTGTGTTAAATCCCAAGAGGAGGGTGGGGGGGGCTAGCTCAGTGAGCTATTTCTCAATACTTCAAGGGTAGCGAGCGACTGGTGCTCACTATGAGCAAGAAGAGCAGACCTACTTTCCACCTGGAACAACGGGAAGCCTCGGGTTTTCCTGAGCCCCCACACAGGCCACAGGCTTGAGTGTGTAAAATCACATCACTGCTTGGCGCCCGTCAAACTTGACTTCTGTCACAAAGCTAGACTGAGTGGTACTGGCTGCTTGGGACAGGCTCCAGACATCCTTGTCGCCACCAGAGTGGACTTCTGGGCACACCAGGTACCTGGCAGCAGCGACACTGCCCGTGGAAACTCCTGCATGATGAAGCAAAGCATGCAGGTTCCAAATGGAATCTTTATTGCATTCTGTTTCTTTGGAATTACTATTCCTTGAGTCTTGGATACTTGAAGAGTTCATGTACCACACCCAAGATTCCCGGACATGGCTTGTCACTGGCGTGCAGAGGGAATCACTTGGCTGGAGTAGGTGTAGGAGCTGCCAGTTTTTCCATATGACTTCTTTAAGAATTGACTTCACACTGAATCATGGCTGTCTCCGCTTGCTTCCACTGGGGTAGCCTCTTGCCCCTGGCTTTGCCAAATACCAGTTATAGGAGGCCTCGAGCATGCTAGTAGTACCCAGGACCCAAGTTGAGGCCCAGCTCCCCCTCACCTGCTCCTGAGTGCCTGCCTGTTGAAGTGCACTCGGACTCCCGCCAGGCAAGGAGAATCCACACGCTGCCTGTGTGCGGGCGGATGTGAGTCTTGAGTTCAGGGTCCCTCCAGGTCCTCACTTTGCCCTGAGCTTCTTGCACTGTGGACTCCGAGGCTCCTCCACGTGTGCCTGTTTTTGCTGGGGCTCACTGTCCTCATGGCTGCGAGCCTGCTCCCTGGAAAGCAGGGCCTCCCGCACCAGCCGCAGTTCCCGTTTCTCTCTGCGCTCCTCCATCTCCTCGATATCGCCGGCAAACAGGGCTTTCAGTGGGGCAGTCAGCTTGGGCACTGTTGGGAAGTCACTGAAGCAGACCTGGAAGGCAAGTGGAAGGACAAGGACATACTTTAGAGCGGGCTGGAGTGGGGGCAGGAGCTGGAAGGAGGACTCTGCGTCACTACTCCCCTTCCGTACCAACCCTCAACTGTGAGAAAACACAAACTGCCACACGGCGGGGGGGAGGCCTTCTATAGAAAGGGGCGCAGAGCCCCACTCGGCTGTGGGCAGCAAATGGAAGGGACCTCAGGAAAGGCTATTAGGACTCTGAAAACCAAGATCCTCAAAGAAACCCCTGAGGAAAGGCTATTAGGACTCTGAAAACCAAGATCCTCAAAGAAACCCTGGCATCCCCCATCCTTCATTATGAGAAGCTGAGAGCAAGGAGAGGAGAGAACACTCGTCTCCGGTGAGTGAGACTCAAGGACCAGGCACCAAAGAGGCTCTTGGTGACTTCCAGCAACAGGACTCTGTCTGGCTGGAGGGCCCTCCCATGGGCCAGCCTCAAGTATGTGGGTGGAATATTCTCTCTGCCCCAGGCCACCCCCTGTACCCTTGTAACACACAGACCTTCATATGGTCAAAGGCAATTCCAACTTTCTCATTGAAGTCAGGGCTGAAGAGGGGGATCTTGGCATAGCGTTGACTGAAGTGGTTCAGCATGATGAACTCCGCATTCATCCGCATCCCCACGCCAATCGCTTGGGAGGTAGTGCTGCAAATAAAGGGGCGAAGTTAAGACAGAAGCTGGATGGCAGGGCAGGACTCCACAGCACCAGAATAGGCCCCGGCCCGGTCTTCTCAGGCTCCCAGGAACCTCCCAGCTGGCAAGTTCCTCAGCTGGCACATCTTTAGCCCACACAAACCCTTCTAAGAGCCACAATTTCCACATTCTCCCTTAACTGAAAGCCAAGTTCGATACTGCCTGTCACACCTGTCAGGGAGGGCATCTGAGAAAAAGCAGTGCTTCCTTACTTGAGGTAAGACATTGGTTCATGACAATAATAGGCCAAGATCCAGCCCCCACCACTCCCCAGTCTTCAGCTTCCCCTGGAAATTTTCTAATGTGGCTTATGTTTTTTTTCCCAGCATATTTTCACTTTACTCAAAAATTGCCTGCCCCAGAACCTTGCTTAGAGAACTTTGCAGAAATAAGAACAGGAGGAACTGAAGAGAAGCACCCAGTTCAGAAGACCTTATGGCCCTTTGGTAGGAAGCAGGCTGGGCTCATGACCCTGAAGAGAGTCTTCCCCAGTGGGGCTGATGTGAGGCTGCTCAGGGTCACCTGGGGGGTGAGGGAGACCAAGTCTGTGACAAGGGTTCAGCTGTCTCTGCTACCTGTGTGTCTTTTCCACGGCTTCCTCTTCCAGGCCATCTTCCAACGTGGCCTCATGGATCAGAAGGGTGGCATCTTTCCCTAGGGAGTAAACACAGGCTTGGAAGCAGAGTCCTCTGCCTGAGAAGCACTCGGTCCTGGGTCCACAGCTGTTCTCTGGCCCAGTCACTCTCTGTCCTGGCCCAGTGGCTTGTTTGCATATTAGGGGGACAGCCAGAGGCTGTCAGGTAGGACTAGAATTTGCTGCCTCCTCACACTTGCCTACAAGCTTGCCTCCAGCTCCACAAAGCCCAATGCACTCCCACCACTTCCTCTACTCACCCATCTGGACCAGAGCCTCACAGGGCATGGTATCTCCGGAATAGACCACTTTCCAGCCGGATGTGTGGACGAGCGCACAGCCAAAGGCATGCTTACAGTGCCGGACCAGGCAGGTCTGAAACTGAAGAGGCAGCGAAGAGCTTTGCAGCTTCCACCTTGCCCTCCCACTCCTGTGGGTGCTGAGCCTGCCTAGAGGGCGAGCCCCTTACCTCTTTCAAATCACAGGTTCCCAGCAGCAAATTAATCAAGCTTTCAATTGCAGGGTTAGAGACCTCTGCTCCTTTCTGAAGGCATTTAGCAGGTATCATACTGTGAGAAGGTGAAACATTAAAAGAAAAATTTTTAAACAAAAATTAAAAAAAATAAACATTAACTTGAATAACAGTTTAAGTCTCTGGCTGGAGTGCCTCAAAATCATTATTATAAGGAACCATTTAAATCAGTCACTGACATTGGGAAAGAGGAGTTGATGTAAGAAAAACGAACCTAAGTCCCCTGGCCCCTGCAAGAACCTAAAATGTGAGCTGAGCATTGTCCTCAGTTCGGGCAATGGGCGCACGCCAGGCAGGTGGACCAGCTCATCAGGAGCGGACATGGCCCCCTTTCTCCCTGGCGTGGACACACTCGTGCAGTCTCTATTTGGGCACTTGGCCTTGGCCTGGTTTCATGGAGGAAAGCCGGCAAAGGTTTAAAAATGTGAGCAGAATTGAAATGAGGGCTGCAAAGAAAAACAGTTAAGTGGGAACCAACGAATGGTTTCTGTTCTATCTAAGCATTTATCTCCTGCTTCTGCCACCTGGTACCAAGTAAGGGCAAGGTGGCTGGGGGTCACCACTATCCCTCCCTGGGGGCAGCTTCTGACTCACGAAGGAAGTGGGAACAGTGGCTCAGCTGCCAGGCTGCCCAGGGCTCACCTGACGTGTTGCAGGATCTGCTGGCACTGGTTGTGGTACTGCTGGAGCCAGGCCTTCAGCTGGGTTGGGGCAACCACCAGCAAAGGGTGGAATGGCTTGCCCAGTGATGCCTGAAATAGCATAATCAGAGGGCCAAGTCAAACAGAAAACATCTTGATAAACATGCTTGGAGCGGGAGTCTGGATGGGTACGTGTGGCTCACCAAAACTCAAAAAAGGCAGTAAAACCAAAGGCCACACTCACCAAAGCACGTTCTCTCTGCAGCAAGATATTTACCAAGCCCTGGGAAGGAAAAGGGAGACAAGGTTAGCCATGTGCAAACTTCCTCCCTCATGGTCAGGTTCTAGTCCTCACCAGCAGGAGGTCCCAGTCCTACCAGCCCCAGCTATGACACTGAAAGGTCACTGCTATGTTACTGGGAAAGAGGACAGTGGCCAGGATCCAGCCATCCCTAGGAGACCAAGTCCTGACTGAAGTTCCCACTGAGCAGGCCAGCTGAGAAGGCAAGATTCAGGATAAGGTGGGTAAAGGCAAAACCCCTCCCGACAAGGCAGTGGAACAAACAAAGACTTGGGTGAGTAGGGTGACGGAACTTGGGTTTTGGAGAAGACCATCAGCTATGAGAGAGGCATGAAACAAAAGCTCGGGGAGTTTGGGAAGCCGCTGAATGGCTGCAGAGGGCAGCAAAGAGCGAGTGCGGCTCCCTCAGACAGGCCCCTGGCCCCCGGGCACTGACCGTGTGGTGGTCTGCATGTAGGTGGGACACAAACACAGCGGCGAGGCTGCCCAGAACCCTGTCCACTTCGTCTCCGTAGTGACGGCATAGCTGCCCAAAGGTGCCTTCGCCACAGTCCAAGAGCAGGGACTTGTCGGAGCTAGAGAAGAGCAGAGGCCACAGTGGGAAAGGCTTCCAAGGGCTTAGACAGTTGTCTTAGAGAGAAGAGCAGGGAGCAGCTGTGGTAATGTGTCTTCCATAGCTTTTCACAATCTTTCTTTGAGGAGATTATATAAAACTAAAGGCAGTTCTAGATGCCCACCGTCATCCCATAAAAGAATCAACCATGAATCTGAAACCTGTTGAGTGTTAGAAAGTAACAGCTACACAAATGTGTGCATCCAAAAAAAGTTAACTTGGGAGGGCAAAAGCACACTGCTCCCTTGATGACTCTTAGTTAGCTTGACCGCCAGTCTATATGACACCCCCAGTCAGTAATACCAGAGACAGGCACTATGTACATGTGACATCTGTTCTGTTCCCTTTTCAAGCAGTTCTGCTTCCTCAGCCACATCCTTAAAGCTGATGGCAGACACTCTTCCCGGGGAGTGTAACTGTGCTGCCATCAGTGCTCTGGGTTGGCTGGGCTCCGGCGGGGCTCAGGAGTTTCCACTCCACAAATATCACAAGCTGTTTTGATGGGCGACCCATTCCCACCTGTGCTCTCAGGGGACAGTCATGTCTCCTTCAGGCCTCATCCTCTGGGAGGAGCAGTGAGACTGGGAGAGCTGCTCTGTCTTCAGACAGGAGCATCAAGGTACGAGACACACACACTCGGGCAAAACAAAGGCAGGCAAGCCAGAACCAGTGCCTTCCGCTGAGGTGCAGTGAGCTCAGGGCCTGCTCTTGGGATTCTGCATGAAGCCTTTTTCACTGTGCACCCTCTCTCTCGGAAAGGCCGGGCCCTGCCAGGCTGCTTTACTCCATCTCCCCAGTTCTAAGAAAAACACACCCCGCATCTGTGTAATTATTATGTACCTCCGAGTGATGCTGCAATGAATGGCACACCCTATATACACATGCACACAGCACCGGTCCCTATCCAGGGCCTAGGGGTATAGTGGCTGCATTCACAACAAAATCGACTGCTTGGCAACACGTTTCTCAGACCATGGCCCTGCTATTGATGGATGACTATTTTCCCACATAGGGAACATCTTCTGTGGTATTTCACAACTAGCACCTAAGAGGACCAATCAAAACTTAAACACAAAGCTAGTGCTTCCCAACCTGCTTTCCTTCACATGTATACCTGCAGGAATATGAACATTTCCCAATGCTTGTATCTCTGCAAACAAGCAGGCTGCAGGCGAATTCAAGAGAATCAACTGAAAAAAATGCCCAGTTAAGGGGCTGAGCATAAAACAAATGTCCCAAACCCAGAATCTCTCTCCCCAGTCAGCTGAAACTAGCTACCGGGACTCCCCATTGATTCTCACTGTGACCAGCCACCTTCCAGCTGGGGAGCTAGAGGGAGGAAACCTGCCTGAGCACCACTTTACTGATCAATAAAATGGGTAGTCACTGCCCCTGAGATTAATGTCAATGCTGAGATAATTTCTTTGCAAGATCCCTGGCCTGCAGTAGAACCAGCTGTTTTGACCAGACGTGTTCGGGGTGATTCCCAGAAGTCTAAGTTAGCTGCTAAGGTGGCTATAAAATGCAGGAATGCATACCCCTGGGCGCCTCTAGCCAAGATGACTGGGTTTTGTACTCCTGCATATGAAATCAGCCTGGTGCACAAGCAGGATTTTTGTTTAAACAATGAACAAGTTTTCCGGGAAAGAGTAATAATACCTTATGTTGACAAGTGTGGAGCTGACGTTCCGGATCTTCATTGGGATGGCAGACCCTGTTCCCAGGAAGATGATTTCTGGATACTGGCTTCTTGTCTCTACGCAAATAAACATGAGAATCCACTTGTCTAGGGCAACAGTGAGCCAGCATTCAGCCGAGGGAGAGAGAAGTAAATCCAGCTTCCCGGGAGGGGCTGATAGAGCAACAAGGCAGTCACCTCTACCTTCAGGGCCTCCTACTGAGGGAAAGGCCAGTCTGTGACTGAAGGGCCAGCAGGGAGGGAGAACAAGTATATTCTACAGTCCTTTCTTCAGAATTGTTCTGAGCCTTTTTATCAGGAAAGGGGACTTTGTGCTATGAGCCCTCATTTACCCCAAGGGGCTGGCACCCAACCGGTCTCCAGTGTTTATAGATCAGCGCTTGCCATGTGTGTTCATAATGGCCCTGTCGGGTAAGGAAATGCCCCGATTTACAGAGAGGAAAGAGGCTCAGAGGATCTCTCAAGAGAGTGAAAGGCTGGGCAAGGATTCAAATCTAAGTAGTCTGGATCATTCTGAGACATGAGTCCCCTTCACAGTACCGCCGGCTTGATGGGTCCATGTGAGTGTCCATGAGCAAGTCAGTGGGCTTTCAACATAATCTGATCACAAACCCCAGAGAGAAGTAAGGGCAGGAAGTTAGTCGTCTTTAACAAAGACGGGAAGTCTGACAGGAGCAGGTAAAGATTCACAGAGGCCCAAAGTGGACTTCCAGAGAAAGTCTCAAGTTTGGAAAGTTGCTAGACCTGCCTCTACCCCCATCATTAACTGAACATCCACTGGCAAAACCAACTCTAGAGTGGCGGTCACGAAGTTTCCCCATTTCCCTAGTTCAACAAGGTGAGTGACGAGGTCAAACCTTCCAGGGCCACTAACAGCAAAGCCAGGATGAGGTCCCAAGCTGGCCAAGACCCTGCTCAAAGTTCTTTCTACAGAGTGCCCAGGACTGCCACAGTCAGTGTGTGCCCTGAAAAATGCTGGGGCTTGGTCACCAAGCAGTTCTTCTCTGGTCAGAGAAGGCAGGCTCTGGTGTTTTTAAATAGAGGAGCACTGTGAGGGCAGACAGACTGTGTCAGGCTGAGACTCCACTTTGGGCAAACCCCTGATGGAGCACAGAGGCCAGCACTGAGGTGGTCGTTGGTCTTCTGCTCACCTGCCGGGACAGGACCATCCTGGGCAGCCTTCCGACATTCCTGCACGCTTTCCTGGAAATTGGGGAGCTCCAGGGCCTCTGCTACAAATTCATCAGGATTGCAAGTAACAATGGCATCCCTGCAGACAGAGAGGCATCCCAGGTGAGCAAAGTGGGTAAGTGGCAGCACCAGTTTGAACATCCAGACTCACTGCATGGAGACCATCTGTAGTAAGCTCTTTCGAATCAAAAGGAAAGATGAGCAATTAAGACCTTGGGCAATTCCATTCTCCTACTTTATAAAATATTTCTCTGCTAAATGGAGGTTTCAAGAAGTTCTGAGGAGCTCTAGGACCTCAGAACATTTCAGCTCAAAGTCCAACAATTGGCACTGAGATTTGGAGGGGGCCAGGCCTGTGCAGCCTCCCTGACTTCTAGATCCAGGGCCACCTAGTAATCCTCCTGGGAGTCAGGGGAGGGAGGGCAAAACTGCCCACGCAGTGGCTTTCAAACTAGCCTGGAGGCCCTGTCAAGATGCAGGCCTTGATGCTGGCTCCGGGGTGCAGCCTTTTAGCTTTGCCTTTAGCAAGCTCCCCCATAATGTAATGCTGCTGCTCCTGTGACACTGGGTGGGCGGCTCTTCAGCCTAACAGGGCACCAAGGTGCTTAGGAAGTGAGGCCCAGGCCTGAGTCAAGGTTCAAATACAGCAGGTCCCCAGGGCAGGGCCCAAGAGCTAAACCTTTCCCAAGTACATGGTGAGTAGAAATATCAGGTTTGTTGATCACAGCTTCATGGACTGCCTGTGCAGATGTGACCAGGAGATTATCTGCTTTTTGGCCATAAGACACCGCTGGTAGGTCCAGGCAGGCAGCTGTGAGGGCCCAACTATTCACAGCACAGCAGAGCACCCAGTAGGAATCGAGAACACGCAAAGTCTTGTTACCGGCTGGGGTGTAAAATGACATAAGTTATGTTTACCAACAGTCTTTATGGTTGTCTCACTCTAACTCAGTACCCCCAAGTCTAAGAATGGTCCTGATGGGGTAATCACAGATTTATGGATATTATTTCATGAAAATAGCAAGGATTGGAATTATCTCAAATGAATCGATGTTCCTATCTAGAACTCCAAGAAAAATCTCATTACTGAAGAGTCTGTACTAAAGAAGGGACTGGCAGCATGCCAGGCCATAAAACCACATTTTTTTTTTTTTAAATATAGTCCCCTGTCCTCAAAGTTAAAACACAAACACACACACCCACACACACCAATGGTAACCTCAGTGTCTTGTGCTAGTAGGATTATGGGGGAGTTGATTTTCTTCAGCACACTTACTTTCAATGTTACAATGAATGCATATCACTGTTATCAGAGAAACAACTTTATGAAAGGATTATTCCTACTTCAACCCAGCCTAGGCTCAGCCTAACAGAGGGAATGAGCACAGCCTGAGTACAGTGACAGCAACACACAGATCCTATATAGCCTGAGAGTGTGAAATAACAACTACCTGTCACTTCATACACAGAGCTTGCCCCTCCCCCATCCCAGAAGCCCAGACCTGCACACACCTCTGCCATTCCCTCCGGGGACGGAGCTGATACTTGAGGAGGCATTCACCCCGAACTGTGGGCACACTAAATGCGGCACCTGCTTCCTGAAGGAGACAAAATACACACACTCTGTGGAGAGAAAGTTAAGGGTGGAGGCTGGGCCAATGAGCGCTGTGGTGTGGCTCTACCTTAGAGTGGAAACTGGCCAGTGGGGGAAAGATGTCCGGGTGGATGAGGTTGAGCTGTGCTTGAATCTTGTGGCTGCGGAGGTTGTGAACTGATGCGCAATTCTCATTCAGGATCAGGTGCTGCGTGTCAGGCCCAAACCTAAGAGCAACAGACTATACATGCAGAGTCCTCTAGGGAACATTCCATCTAAGTGGTAGCTAGGAGATTAGGAGTGCTGTGTGAATGAAATGTTTCAAGGGAACAAGGGACTTGTGCAAAGAGATTACTGCTAAGTGGCCTGGCACAATCCTACCCCTGTCTTATAGACTTACTCCAGTGTTCTCTCCAAACTCAAATGTCTTTGGACATGTTGGAAGAGCACAGTAGAATAAGACAGATTAAGAATTCTGGAGCTCATAGCTCCAGGTTTGTTAACAAAATAGAAGTTTTTACCAGGTGGAAGGAAAGGGCACAATAGGAAGAAAAGAAATAAGCTAGTGTATGCTAAGACTCAAACCATAAAGGAATAGAAGATGAAAACTGCTGAGCAGCTAGAAACGCAGGGCTACTGAGGAAATAGTTGAGAAACAGAAGGGAGGCTGAAAGGCCACAGACTGCTGTATACTGTGAGCTTAACTCAGTCGACTCTGGTGAAGCCATGAAGGAAAAATTCAAGTGACCTCTCCTTCTGGGAGATGATGTACCTCACAGGATTGTTAGGAAGATTAAAGAAAATGAAATACATTCTACATCCTGCCAAGAGAGTGGGTGTTTGCTAAACCGAAGCTATGATTTTAAGCTCACTCAAAATTCTCTTTGTTAGGACACCTTGTGGAATTGCCCACAAGGCAAGTCAGACAATGGAGAGAGTGTCAAGGAGATGAAACAGACCCCACCCAAGGGGACGTGAACACATGGTGCCACCTAGTGGGGGTGCTTCTTCATAGCAAGTACTGATGGAGCTCCTAGAATTCAGGGGCAGGGATCCCAGAGAAAAAGTAGGCAGCTTAAGAAAGACAGGGGGCAGGCGGAATGTGTGTGCACAGAAGAGCTGCCCCTCTCCCTGTGTGTGCTGCTGGGCTGGGCTCCATACCTCTCCATCCACTGCTGGTACCTGCTATCCACAAGCACGCTCTCTGGGGCCATGTGGACCACCAGGGCCAGGGGGGCATCGGCATTCCCTTGGTACCTGGGCGGAAGGAAGAGTGTGACACAAACCTGGGCCTTTGTAGTGTGACACAAACTCAGAACACACACAGACAGATGCGGCCTGTGCGGCCAGGGATGGGCACTGCTCAGCATTCTCGGAACTGCAGGAAGCCCACAGCCTTCACACCAGGCCCGGTGCTCACAGGCTTGCGGAGCCCCAGTGCTGACACAGAACCCTTATTTGTCAAGCGCTGGGGCTCCTTGTTCCTGACTGAGCCTTTCGTAGGCTGCTGTGCTGCAGACTGAAACTTCTAAATCCTCTCCCTTTCACAGGCGTCACACTGCAGAGCAGAGCAGAGCAAGGTGTCCCTCACGCCTTTATTTTTCAGACATTTCCTTCTATAAATGTCTTGCACCTCTGATTCCACTCGAGTGTGTCTACCTAGGTTCCAGAGGACCCAAGCTGTAATTTGAACATCTAGGAGGTCAACTGTTAACACGATGATGTCACTGGAATTAACGATGTTTACTTTCTTTTCTTTTTTACTTACTTAGTAAGTTTACTTAATTTTAAGAAAGTTTCTTTAAAAAAATACAGTGCACATGCACACACACAGAGTTCATGGCTGTATACCTACACCTCACAGCAACAAAGTCCTGCTCAAGGCTCTCAGCTCACTTTCCAGGCAGCACAGTGACTTCAGACAGGTTAATTGCGCACAGCTTGTTTAAAATGCAAAGTCTGTGGCATCAGGGCCCCAAATTCACCCACAGAGGATAAAATGGAACTTGAGAAGCATTTCTAACACTAATGTAAGAGGTGTAGCATCCCAAAAGAATTTGTTGTGTTAAGTAGCCTAAAATAGTAAGTGAAAATATGAAGATAAAGAATTAAAAACAGGACAAAATATGGATAGATAAAACATTAAAAATGAGAGAAAAAAATAAAACATGGATGTGTGGGGCAAGATTAAACCTGAATTGCTACAAGGGTCGCCTTTTGGGTAGGAGGTGGGGAACCAAGGAGAATAACCCTCAGGCCATCAGAACAAAGTTGTTCCCAGGCTGAGCTCTATCCCTTGGCACAGGCCCTGCACTAAGACTCAACGGCTCAGACCTACCTCCTTAGTTTGTAAGGGAATAAAGGAAGTAAATTCCACGTCTAGCCTCAGAATTCTAACTGGCTGTTGATTTCCTGGTGCACAAAGCAGGGCTTTGTTGCTGTGGTCTGTGGTTTTCACTCTTCAAGGCTGTAGACACAGGCCCACTAATCACCAAGAGGATGGAAACACAGTGGCAGTAGGACTGGCAGTAAGGAAAGCCTAGCTGCAACCTTTCCAACTGAGCGCTCCCAAGATACTCTCTGACTGGAGCGACTGGCAGGTCAGGTGAGGTGCCCGTGTTAATGCTGAGCTGGGCTTCATGATCAGCTTCGACCTTGACTTCTCCCTCCCCAGGTTCATCATTACCTTTTGAACGTAGCATTCTCGCAGATGGGTTGAATGAATCCTTCGTCTGGACATTCTACCACAATAAAAGCAAGACCAGGATCCGGGGGAGTACAGATCTCTTCAGGCAAAATCTGTAAAATCATTGGGTCACGAAGCTCTCCCAGAGCCAGGTCATGGTTCAGGAAATACACCCAGCGGCTTTCAAATCAGCTAACACATTGCATAAAGATGGCATTTCAAGCCCAGCGTAGCCCACAAGCCAGACTTGGCATTCTAGGTACTCTTGAGTCTGGGCCCACCAGGCCTAATATCCTTAGGTGCCTGAAAAACACCTTGGTAAAGTAAACAGTGGCATTCCTTTGGGCCTTGCACAAAGCCCACCTTCATTGGGTGTGTTGTTGGACACCACCAAGTATAAGGCGAGGACCACCACACCAGATCCTGCACAATCTGGAGAAATGTCCACATGCCCGCATTGTTGACTGCAGGACAAGTTTAGATTAGAGACCCAGTTTTATCATGTCGCCAAGTATTGAAATCCAAGCTGTTCACTTCCTTCAAAAGTGCTGTCTGTAGGGCTTAAACCAGAGTGACTCTGCCCAGGTTCCAGGCCTACCTGTCATGGCTGAAACATCACGGAAAGGGGAAGCCTCACCTCTCTTCCTTCATAAGTGACACTTTTCCCATCCTTGACAGCAGCGATGATGGGCGCAATGGCAGCTGTCCCTCTGCAGTGAAGAGGCAAGCCCTCTGTGAGACACAGGGATTCTCAACAAGGCGTCCCTGGTTCCCAACACTCATCCCACACTCACACCGGGAGGCCCAGCTCCTTTGCTTTGAGCACCAAGAAGTTTCCTTTCTTCAAGTGAAGCTGCAACAAAGAGAATTTAAATGTAATTTCAGTGGCTACTGAAGAAGCTTGGCTTTACTTAAGTTTAAGTGTATCTTTCTGGTTTCACTTTTCATTAATGTTATTTTCTTATAACTCATTAAGGTGGGGGTCAGGTTATTGCTTTCAGATAAGGTGTACTCTACTCTGAAGAAGTTATTTATTTTGAAATGTTTCAGTTCTGAAAGCTGAATGATTTAAAAAAACAAGGTGTTTCTTCTGCCGCAGAAACTTATTCTACATTTCATAAAATGTCACCAATTCACATCAAGTAAAAAGTATCTTTCAAGTATCCTTGAAGAGAAACACTGTTGTTTTATCACCCTGCACTCAACTTTAATAGCTAAAAGAACAAGCCAGAACATTATCTAACAGGAAAATGCTCACCATGCTTGTCACTGTACAACAAAATTCTAGTGACAGTGATAGGGTGGGCGGTTCCTGCTCTGTTTTTCACAAACATGGCAATAACCAGCTGTTGCTTTTGTACTTAAGAAAATTTATAATAAAAAACTTTAGTATTTCAGAAGGAAAAACTATCAAAAAACCTCAATGCCACTGTTTTGTACTTAAAAATTTTCTAAACATTTTTGAGCTCTACATATTTCACACATAGTAACAAAAATAATAATATTCTTCCTTAGATCTTTATAAACTCTTTGCATTTTCTTTTAATTGCAACTGAAATTTACAATTTCTTTTAATTCTTTTAATTGCCCAAAGTTGGAAATTATTTTTAGGGCAAAGTCTCAAATTTAGATCCCCCCTTTTTTTTAAAAAAAAAGATGTACTATTTATTTGTGCATACAGAACTGGGGTACAGGCTGTGCTGCAGTCACATGGAACTTACTTTACAGTGCTCCATGTAACCATACAACCTACTTAAAAAGTAGGTGCCCCAAAATTCAGAAACACACAAATAATAAGCCCATCGACAACACTGCTCAACTTTTTAAAAAACCACTAGTATTCCAATTGTTAGAAGTGATACTGACAATGATCTTTTAGTTGGTACCTCAATTACTACTGAGCTTTATTAAGTGTTCCCACTTGTAGGTGCTAGAAGTTGTATGAAATTACAAATTTATTTTAAAACCAACATCACTGCTTTTTTAAAAAATCAGAAAATAGTGTATAGTCAGAACATAGTTACAAGGTTAGATGAAAGCATTTGCTGAAGATTACAATAAAAATTTTAATGCAAAATCCTGTTAAAAATAAGCCATTAGGGGTCCTCCCTGGTGGCGTGGTGGGTGAAAGCACAGCACTAAAGCACTAAGAAGCTAAAACCACTTCAGCATGAGTTCAACCCTGCCCCAGAGGTGATCCACATGGTGCGACGGATCTCTCCTGACCCGCCCGCTGCTCCCTTTAGCAGTGTACTTCGTCAGTCAGCCCGTTCTGCTCCCCACTCTGTCTCTGGTGAGGCCTCTCACTGTCCCTGCGCTCTGGCCTGTACCCCAGTTCTGTATGCATCAATAAATAAATCTTTAAAAAAAAAAAAAAAAGGCCATTAGATCACAAGGATACCATATTGTAATTGTATGCCTTATTGTAATACCATTTTCATAGAATCTGACCAACTCCAAATTTGCAGACCTATGTGAATTTCTGTCAATATTGAGTCCAATGTGAACAGCTTCACAACTGGAGTGAAATGGTGTCAAGGCCTAATTCAGTTGTGGAAGGCAAAGCTGCCTTAACCTATTTCTGATGTGCAAGAAGACAGATCATAAGAAAATACAAAAACAGAGCACTGGAAAAGAACCTGAAGGTTTATCAAGACATAGGCAGGATACTGAGCATTAGGCATCTGTGTCTCTTCTTGGACAGGTCAGCAGGAGCTGCTCCCCCTACAGTACTGGCCAAGTGCTAACCACAGGCCACCGCGCACAGGCTCACTTGCAGTCCACAGGAAGTGCGCTTACCTTACAGATGAACGACACCACCAAGGAGGGGTCCCTGCCACCTGTTCTGTGGGGAACACCTAAGGAAAAGTGAGTCGATTACAACAAGGTAAATGGGAAGGGTTCTAGGCTCCTCAGCTCCACAGTCATGATACCTCGTTTGACTTCACACATAATTCCTTCAATACAGAGGTGGAAGAATGCACAAATATGCATTCTTCTTTCCTTCCTCATGTTGAGATCTGAGGAAATGAAAAATACCAAACTCCTAACAGAAAAACTCTGGAATGGTAAGTAACATTTAAAATACTACACATTTTACCTATGCCTGGCGAAGGGAGGAAAAAACAAGTTGCAATGTAGTTTATAAGTAAGTATAACAATGTATGAAATAACACAAAAGCCCCAAAGGCCTGCAGAGAAAATGTGGTGTCAGTCTTCATTCATGCAGCACAGGTAAGGGTGGCCCACAGGGCTGGCCTCTTCTCTGTCATCAGGCAGACCAGACCTCAGGACAGAAAGGATAACTCAGTGAGCTTTGCCCAGCAGCAGACAACAGAATCCTTAAGCAGCACCATTCCTCTGCTCTATCTCATCTTGGAACGGTAACTCTGCTTTCCTGGAGATGTCACTTTGGAAGAAAAGCTGCAGTAATGTTTTACACTGTCAAATGTTTCCCCACTGGGCAAACAGAACATCAGGTTTTGGGCCCACTCAGGATTGCATACTGGCCCTCAGAGCGCCCTACTGTCATCTTTCATCACAGACCTCCTGTACCCATCTCTCACACAGGGCTTCCTATGACAAGATGCTCAGGTAGAGCAGCTGGAGGGGACAGACTAAGAAAGCAGAATTCTCTTGACAGTCCACTGCTATGTTTCAGTACCATTACCATCTGGAAGCTGCTGCTCATTTTCAGCTGACCCAGAGTTGGAGGACTGCTGTGGACTGAGTCTTTCTGGAGTCTGTGACACCTGGTGCCCTTCACATCTCTGTTCACCTGAGGGAAGAGGGAAGAATTGAATCACACATTAGAGGTGAGCTCCCAGGTCAAGCCTAGCTGGTCATATGTGGCCTACTAGATAAGCATGCCTCCTGCACAGCACAAGTGCCAGGCACCCCTTCTGCTCTCTGGGCCACGTTTCTAGCTGACTCATCTTTTTGTGTCTGCTCAGCTCAGAGCCTTGACTATAGTAGGAACAGAATGGTGTTTGCTGACTAGAAAGCATGTCGGTTGTAGGCTGCTTCACTTATCAACATTCTTTAATAAATGACAACCCATGATTACCAAGTTCCTGAGGAGCAGCAAGATTTTGCAGGCTGTGAAGTCTTAAGGTTAAAACAAAGAAAACTACTGCTAAACACTATGGCTGTTGGTCTCCCAGCACCCTGCTTCCCCCTCCGGTGAGGCTCCCCCTGAAAGTGCCTGCTGGACACTAGGAAAACATGGCCAGCAAGCTAAACAAGATCAGTGTGCACCACACAAATACACACAGAAGTAAACTGTCCCTGGCTGAAGGAGAGGAATAAGATGCTAGAAAGGGCAGTGGAGGGGCCCTCCCTCATGGGCAACAGGTGAAAGCAAGCACTGCAAGCTGGCCACAGCCATTTCAGTGTGCATCAGTTTGGTCTTCCCCCCAGAGGTGATCCATGTGGCGTGGCAGACCTTGCCTGTCTTGCCCGCTGCTCCCCTCAGCAGTGTACTTCGTCAATCTGCCTATTCTGCTCCCCACTCTGTCCCTGGTGAATCCTATCACTGATCCTGTATCCCAGTTCTGCATGCATAAATAAGTATTAAAAAAAAAAAAGAGCAGTGGAGGAACATAAGTCAGACTGGGGGTGGGGAGTGGGGTGATGCAGGGAGGGAAGAGAAGACATCTGACCAGGTGAGCCAGGAATGGAGAGTTCGGTCAAGCTGAAGCCTCACTTGCATATGCTCGGCGATGGCCCCTCCTTTACGGCCCTCCTATCCTATCTGCCCAGGGTAAGCCTCACCACTAGGTCTGGGGAGGCCTTTGTTTACACTTTCCTCAAAAGTGGTAAAACCTTACATGGTAACTGTTTAGGCAGACTGAGGGATAACATTGATGTGAAATCTGTCCTGAGACGCAAGGTATGTGTGATCTCCTGACCTCTGACAACACTTCTAATAGGTTACTGTTATCAGTATTGACTCAAACCCCCCTGAAAAATCTGTCTAAAAAGTTCTTATCAAAGGAGAATACTTCTATCTGTGACAAATTAATCCCAGCAATAAATGTGCACATCAGGGAGCAATCTATTTCCTGGCAGAGCCTGTTTAGGTACTAACCCAAAGTATAACCACTATCAGTATATATGAATTAAATGTCTGCCCATAGATTATAAACTCCTGAAAGTCCAGAACCATATCTTTATTTTTTCCATCCCCTTCATTCCATCAGGTGGATCACATGGAGGCACACTGATTACCTCCAGGAATTCTGGGTCAGCCCTGGAATCAAGCCCAGAACTGCTTAGAGTCCTGATTATTCCTGAAGTGGGTAGGGGCGCGGTCAGCGATGACTGAAAAAGATGCCTCTGAGGAGACATAGCAGAGTCAGCCTCAGGAAGATATCACAGGACCTCAACAGTCTGTCCCATGAACTCACACAAGGTCACCCCTTTCATTCTCCCTCAGACCCGTCAGCAGGGACTGCCCCCATGCTGAGAGAAGCCCAAATTCTCCAGTGCCTTTGGTTTATCAATGGAACTCTTTCCCAAAGATACTACAACAACCAGTAAGATATCTGGATGCTTTGGAAGAAAGGAAGGTAAGGAAATTTCTTCAGTCATACAGATACACCAGTACAACACTGAGTTCATATAAGAAGGGAACAGGGTTATCTGCACTTATTGTTTTACATTGTCAAATTGTCTGCTATGTGAATGTCCAGTCCTGATTTTATGTCAGGAACCAGATCTTAATGCTTCAGCCATATTTTGCAGTCATCCTAGAATGCAGAGTGAGACACACAAAGCAGTTTTCCACCCACTCGCTGATACCTACAACCTTCTCTTCCTAGGACATTTCATACTCACTGTATATGGGGATCTGGAAAACCGTCATGGTCTCATCTTTATATTCTGGTGCAGAGTGAGGCCGCACAGCTACAGGAAAGGGAAACAGGAACATGACTCCATTAACATAAAAATTATCTTTCCAGATCACTAGCCACAGAAAATGAATTGCTTTACTCAGCATTTCTGAGTAATCATTTAGGAAAGAAACAAAAATGTATTTTCATGAACAATGTCACTACAGCCAAATGAACAGTCATATGGTCACTGATGACAGCGTGTTACAAAAGAAAAAAAAGAAACCAATACTCAAAAGTTCAGATACACAAGTTAACACTTAGCATTGGGAAGCCAGAGTCTCCACCATCTCAAATGGAAGAGCTGATATTTATTTTAAAACATTTGTGTTGCCAGGAAGAGAAGCACTAACAAGCTGGAGAGGCACAGGGCCTCGAGCACTGCTATCTTCAGAGGCTTCAACCCATCGAAAGCCCATGTCACTGCCAGCAGAGCCAGAGCGGGGTTCAGGGTAAATGCAGGGAACAAAACTGTGTGTCCCTCCATTCACACACCCTCTTCCTACTGCAAGAAATACAAGGCAATTCAACTCTGAGAACTAGGGCAGGAGACTGCTACCTAGCATTCCCGTGGCAGACAGCAGTTCTGAACTCACAGCCTACCTGGCTGATATGTGGGAACGTAAGATGGAGACATAGTGTAATAAGCAGTATTTTTATCAGCTTGTGTTGATAAGGAATTTGATTTTTAGGTTTAATATAGGTCCCTTTTTTAAATATAGAGTCTCATTTGAAAGACTGATGTCTATGTGAGGAAGAAATGTCATTTAGGACATACCCAGGTCTATTCCTTTCAATGGACCTGAAAATATCTTGATAGCTTCTAAGAATTTTTCCTGCAAAAGAAGAGAGAGATGGGAGCAGAAATGGTCACACAAATGCAGAACTGGCAACATGGTAAGTAAGAGGTACAATAGATATCAACCTTAACTTTACTAAGTGTTTTGAACTTGCAACTTTGGAGTGTCTACTCTGTTAGAGGCCGAGGATCCCTGCACTCATGAGCCTTGGAATCCAGTGGATATAACAACTGGCGACATAAACAACACAGCAGCGACAGTCCTGCTAAATGCCTGGAAGCACGAAAAGGCAGGGGGCTGGGATACTACTGGTCTCAGCAGTCAGGGAGGCTCGTGCGTAAATGGTCTTCCAGCTAAGCCCTGAATGGTCAGAGGATGGCAGAGAGGAGAAAAGGCAGAGGGAACTCATGTGCGAATGTAGGCCCTGAGACAGGAAGAGGATTCAGGGAGCACAGGGGGCTAAGACTGAGTCTGCTGTGTAGCTCTGGCTTGGAAACAGGTACAGATGCAAGTGTGGTCCAGTGCCAAGGCCACAGGACTTGTTGGTCACAGGAGAATGCTTGGGTCATGATGCAATGGAGAATCCTTGAAGGGTGTCGGATGGGATGTGATGTGCCTGCAGCTGTGCCATCAAGAGGTCCCTCTGCTGCTGTGATGGATTAGAGGGGCAGGAAAGGCTATGGACACTCTTAGAGAAAAGGTTTAGTACACAACGCATGAAGGCCTTAATGAGACCAAAACAAATGGATGGATATAAGCCATTATTTTGGAGACAGAATTAAGAAGGCTTGGTAATTCTTAAGAACTGGGAAAGGGTTAAAGCTCAGCATGATGACGCTATCAGCAGCCACGGCAACACGAGTTTGATCCCTGCCAGGGAGCTGACCCACAAAGCACAGCAGATCTCTCCTGTCACCTGCTGCTCCCCTCAGCAGTGTATTTCAGTTGATCTGCCTATTCTGCTCCCCACTGTCTCTGGTGAAGCCTCTCATCACCTGCACCTCTGGCCTGTACCCAAGTTCTTGTATGCATCAATAAATTAAAAACAAAAGAACTGGGAAATAAACTGTTACATTCAATAGTCTTAACAGTGTGCATGCAAGTTCTTGACGTGTAATAAGCCACTGTGGAAGAGAAAATTAATGAATAAGTAAAAACAAGAGCTAGTATATGTTGTGTGCCTACTTGGTGCCAAACATCGAAGTCATTTAGTGTTTCTTCATTTATGCTAATAACTCTATGAAACAGAGCACTGTGCAGATCAAGAAGAGACAGAAAATAGAAGTAGAAGTAGAGTTAACTTGTTTAAGGTCATACATTAATGATTTGAGCTCAGGTCTTTTTTAACTTAAAAGGTGAAATATATACGCCACTGTCGGTTATCTCTGCAGGGTAGAAAACTGGTTTACAAAAATTGAAAGACTTATTACAAACATTTATAATGGAGATTGACTGTGAAAGCTGAGTCAGGACTCACCAGTTGGGGAGGTCCAGAAAGTACACACTTTGGAAGCCCGGTTTCCTTTAAAGTTAGAATCATTCCTACAAAGTATGAATAAATAAATAAATGATTTTATTTATTTTCACGCTGTCCTGAAACCGCTGCCTGGAGTAGCACTCCTGACTTAACCAGCTGATGACGTATTTTTCCTCGCAGCTCTAGTTATGAGGCCCAGGTGTAGAGAGGACATACTGATGGGGGGCAGGGGCGGGAAGGGCTCTCGTTGCACACGGCACAGGGATCTGCACCTAGCACAGCTTGCACGTTCATACCACATGACTAATTTTCGGTTTTCTTTAAAGTAAAAATCTTGCTTTGAATGGAGATTTCTGCCCTGGAGATGCCCCAATGACTACCAGGCATCAACCATCAATGTCATCAGTAATTAACCAAGCAGGTCAGGATGGACTAAGGACAAGATAACCAGGAAGCTGATAACAAACTCTGGGCGGGTGAACATAACAATACCAAATCCATCAACTATGATGGGCTGTTCTGAGAAAATGATTCACTTAAGATCGATTGTTTTTGTTCAACACTATAAAACAGCTAGTTAGACATGAGATGTTAGTGTGATTTCTTCTGGGTGATATGTCCACTGTTCTTAAGACTATTGGCCAGCTATCTAAATAAACGAGCTTCTTATAAATTCCTGCCTCTGCTCATTGGCTTTCTGTAATGACAGGCAATGGGACCTGGTACTTCTAGCAAAAATGCTACTTGCTAGAGGTACAAGGAAGATGAAATGGTCCTTAGCTGCCTCCAGACTGGGCAGGACTGAAACTTGGGTGAAGCAGTGAGGCACCTAGTATGTAAAGTCAGGCCAAGTGAAGGGGTGGGCTAAAATTCTGCACCATAGGTAACTCCTTGCCTCACCCTTTTCTCAACTCTGAGAATGGAATGGTGCAATACTTCACTCCTCTTTACTCGTGTTGCAAAGTTTACAAAATGTGGTGGAGACACAATCTTGACCTTCTCAGGTGATGGGTATGAACTTGAGGTAAGCTGGATTGTGAGCATCTGTGTGTAGCTGCTGATACTCTCAATGGTAAACAGTGTGTATACTATAATCACCAGCACTACAGTACCAATTTACGGTCTCATAGCTACAGTGCAGTAATTAGGTAACACCTGGAGGCAGCACCCATGTTAAAACTGCTTTTCTGTAATGATAATGATGAACAGCTATACACCAGAGACAATTTCTGGGGGTGGAGCGGGGAATGGGATCAAAAATAGTGGGAGAGGGAAATGCACTGGACTATGGTGATGGCACATGGGTGATTTGGTGATGGGAAACCCTAGGGGATTACAACTGAGATGGAAAAATGCACAAAAAGATGTAAAAATAAACTATTATAAAATTAAAAAAAAAAACACTGCTTTTCTTAGTCACCACTTTTCATGATCTGTATTGCAGTTGACAGAGCTGACATGAAAAAAATTCTAGCTCCCGTGCACTCAGAAAAGAGACCACAAAAAAAGGGGTGATGTTGGAAGCAGAACAGGGTCAAATCCCAGAGATATCCCTGCTTACTTACCGCACAGCCCCCCAACGTTACACCAATGCATTCGGGTTAGGAAGATGTTGTCCAAACGAGCCACCTTCAGCCTAAAAACATTTGAGGACAACATGGATTAACTAGGAACCCTCCTTTCTGCTATAAAAACACTCCTGCCTCTCACCTCGGTTTTCAAGCTCCATAATCAGTCCCACCCCAAAGAAAATGGGTGACTCACTTGTGCTCCTGCATGAGTCGCTGGACGCCTTCTCCACAGTTGAAGAGATACCTACAGAACAGGCATTACACAAGACATTCAGACGATCCTATACTGTAAAATCTCAACACCATTTGAAGACCTGACTGTAGAAAAATGTCTATAAATGCATGCCCTGCTGGCCCTCATTCTGTTATTAGGATTCAGAACCCTCCTCAGCAGAGCCCCGAGGGATGGATGGGGGTGGGGGGGGCCTGTGTAGGTGAGTGCTGGAGAGAGATGGGTTTTCCCCCATCAACTCTCCCCACTGAAACTGTGCACACACACTCCACCCCCCCCCCCCCCAACTATGAGGCTCTGCCTCTGCCCCTCCCTTTCGATGCAGGAGAAGGGATAGTTTAGCGTTCCAAGAGAACTCGGGGACCGAGGCCTGGGTACCCACGTCTGAAGTTCTTCAGGGTCTCCTGGGCACTATGCGGTTGTCGGCTGTAAGCTACCTAGACTCCCCCACCCACCCAAAGACCGAGAAGAGCTGCAACAGTGAAATCCCACGTGTTGAGTAAGGGAAACCAGAGCTCCCTCAGGGGCTCATTCACAACCGGGCGAGGCTCCCCGGCGCGCAGCAAGGAAGGCCGGTGTGGCTCGGTAAGGAAACACTCTGGGGACCCGTGGAATTTCAGGCTCCTGGGACTGACCGGTTGTACTCAGAGAAGACGTAGAGCGCCGCGCCCGAGTCCCGGCCGCCGGCCGCCACCACCTGCATGTACACGGTGTTTGGGCCCCCGGGCTCCCATGACGGGCCACGCTTCTCCCGCGTGCGCAGGTGTCGCAGCGGGTCTTTGGGTGGCCGCTGGCGGCGGGCGGCTCCCTGCGACATGGCGCGCCCTGCCGCAGACCGCAGCAGCGAGCGGATGGCCCACATCCACCAGCTTCCACCCGGGTTGAGAATGAAGCCGGTCACCTCGGCCCGCGTGCCCCACACACCGTCCCTCCGCCCGCGTGGCAAGATTAGCCAATCCGCGCGCAGAGAACCGAGCCGCCCGCCTACGTGCGACCGTGCGTCCAATAGAGAGGAGCCTGGCCGCTCCAGACTTGTCAATTGGCGATGGCCATAGAGTAGAGAAATGCTAGAGTGCCCCGAACGGACCCGCCCCTACACTATTTCCGTCTTTCCCCATGTCAATTATTTCCGGAAACTGTCCTTCGCTTGGGGCGGGACTTCCGGGTTCAGCCCCGGAAAAGCAATATTGGAGGAAAGGCTGCTCTGTGGAGTGGAAGTGTGCTAACTGGTAGGTTCGAGTCTCGCTTCCACCAATTATGAACTGAGTTGTTCTTGCTTGAGGTGGTTAGGATGAGCTGTGAGAAGGTCAGTTATGTAGGGATTTATTTACCATGACAGTTTTCGCTAATTTTATTTCCAGCGTAAGTAATGTGAATACCTCAAATATTTTTACCGACTTTTGGAAAGAAAGGCAAGTTTAGGGATTAAGCGATCAAGTTCTGGAGCAAGAGAGTTTGGGGTCAGTTACTTGAGTGAGTTTGAGTTCTCTGACCCTAGTGCCCCTATTGGTAAACTGTGAGTATTAATAACCTACTTCATAGACTTTTAGAATTAAATCACCCAAGAACATGGTGAGAGCACGTTAGTGGCACGAGCACATCTGAGTCACCCAGTAAATGGTTGCTAAAAAGGAAGTAATACCGGTCGACTGCTGTCTAAAGAAATGCTGGCCAGGAACATCACAGGGGTAGTTGTCCTAAAGCCCTTTGGGAGAAAGAAAAGTTCTGTCTCCTTACACAGCAAAATGAGGAACTTTGTCCAGTAAAGATTCCAGTTAAATCTATTAGAAATACAAGATGCTCCCGTGAATAGGGACTATATTTTATCTGGAAGTTGTACTGAAAGACGAAGCGGTTTTTATGGAAAATTATCACACTACTGTGTAAGAACATGTTTGCACTTGAAATTATCACCTCAATGAGGGTCAGGAAAACTGGGGGTCTGTTCTTTACACCTTTAGGGTTTAAACACCAAAAAGATTACGATGCTACTGTTTCTATAAGTATTCAAAATAAAACTAATAATTAACAATAAAAAGGCAACTTACTTGCAAATCATATATCTAATAAGGGGTTAATGTACAAAATACATGCAACTCAATATAAAAAATTCATTTAAAAATGAGTTAAGTACTGCATATCCCTCACCTCTCCCCCCAGAAGACAGCTAGATGGTCAATAGTACATTAGTCAGGATCTAATGCTTCTTGTCCAGCCTGGCCTCGTCATTGTGGTGGGCCAAGTGTTTGGAGTCTAAGATCAAGGTATCAGCAGGGTTGGTTTCTTCTGAGGCTCTTCTCCTTGACTTGCAGATGGATGTTTTCTCCTCGTGTCTTCATGTAACATTTCTCTGCATCCCTGGTATGTGTCTCTTCTAGATGTCTTCATTTAAGGACACCAAATTGGATTAGGATCCACCCTAATGGCCTTATTTTAAATGAATCATATCTTTAAAAACCCTCTTTCCAAATATAGTTACATTCTGAGGGGCTGGGGAGTTAAGGTTTCAAAACAAATTTGTGAGGGCAGCAGAGAAACAATTCAGCCCATAACAACTCTCACTCCACCTTCTTTTTCTGAAACCTCTTCAACACAGAAACTCAGCATCCCCTGTGTCTGTGGCCCCTGAACATTAGAAGGGAGAACTTTGTGTTCCTTCTCTGAGTATGACCCCAGCTCTATAACTGTGATCTAGAGAATAAAAGTCCCTCACAGGGTCTTGGCACACAGAGAGGAGGCAGTGTGGCAAGGCCCAGCCACCTCATAGGATCATTAGCCCCCATCCTCACCTGGTAATTGTCTTTTAGATTATCAGTGCAGATTTCAGGACAATCCTTCATCCTTGATGAGGCAAGGTCAGAAGAGTTCCTACAGAACTGTCCTGCAGTCAGACCTCCATGTGTCTGGGTAGAGTGGAGAGACCCTGTCAACACAGGACAGAGTACAGGGCAGTGGTCCCCAGGAGTGCGATGCGCGCCACGGCCACTAGAGGGCTCCGTGGCACCACAGTCCTGAGGATTGCTGTCCCTAGGTCGTTCTTGTCCAGCTAATCTTAACAGCTTATTTTTAGTGTTGCTAAGTGCTAAACTAAGCACTGTGATGCTAGTAAGACAAGAGCATCACTTTTACTCAAAGAGTTTACAGACTGATTAGAGGCTGGCAAATATGAACATCCCCACTCCCTCTGCAGCTCCCACCCCCACTAGTTCATTCTGAGAAATTCCATACACATCGAACACCCATCCCTCCCTCTACTTAGATGTCACCATTTGCTATAGGTGCTTTATCATATCTAACTACGGGGGAGTGGGATGGTTCATATCCATCCTGCTATCCATCCACATTTTGTATCACGTTTTAAATGCATTTCAAACAAAGTGAGGCATTATTTTGAGGTACTTTTTTCTTTGGTTCTCTTCTTCCCCACTTCAAGCAATTAGTGAGCCATCTTTGATGTTGTGAGAGGATGTGGCCTGGGATGAAGACAAAAGTAGTCCTGCCTTCTTTCCTTCCTTTCACAAGTGTCAGTTTGTGGGAAGAGAACAGACACTATCTAACAGAACAGAATCCCTCTAAACGTGAGGCCATCACTTACAGTTTGAAAATATCACTTGAACTAAATCTATTTGCCCTTGCTGGTATAATTGAATCTCCCCTTTTGTGGATGAAGAAATTGCATTCCAGAGAGATTTAAATTCCTAGTACTTAGCAGTAAAATCCAGTCCAACACTGTAGGGATAGAACTGAAGGGAAATCTATCTATGTGGATTCTGGAGTGTTTTTGTGGCTCCTCCAGACAATCAAGTGTGTGTGTGTGTGTGTGTGTGTGTGTGTGTGAGTGATTGTGAGGCTGGTAAGTCCTATATCAGAATGGTAGGCTGGCAGGCTGGAAACTCAGGGAAGAGTTTCAGTTTAATTCTAAGAGGCTGTTGCTGACAGAATTCCCTCTTCCTTTGGGAAGGTGCCTTTTCTTTTCTTTTTTATTCTATTCAGGCCCTCAACTGATTGGAAGAGGTCCACCCACCCACATCATCATCCACTTTGCTAAAATTCTGCTGATTTAAATGTTAATATCACTTTTAAAACACCTTCACAGAAACCTCTAGAAGAATGTTTGACCAAATATCTGGCCTATCACCTGGCCCAGTTGACACATAAAATTAACCAGGGCCCATTGGTTTAGATTGGCTCATTGTAAGAAACTGAAGAAAAAACTTAAATTAAGACAATGGTCTTGTTTGGTGCCATGAAGAAGGGTACAAAAGGGACAAGGGGCATAGCTGGCTGCCTCTGGTCAAGGAAGTATCCTCTGTCTGCTATAGGGATGTCACTTTGCAGATTGTAAAGGCATCTGAAACATGAGCACCCTAATAAAGGGAGTAACAGCTGCAATTTATTGAGTACTTGCCATGTACAGGCACCCTGCTAAGTGCTTCCCACGGATTAGTTTAGACTCACCCTGGCCCCATCTGGCCAGATACAGCATAGCCACGCCCACAATGAGGCCTGTCACCCCAGGACACTCTCCCAGGCAGTGAAGACCTTCTTCTCCAGGGCTCTCTGATAACGCTGCTATCCCTTCCACAGATTGGGAGATTTCTCTTTATGAGGGATGGTGTGGTGGCGGGAAGTCCTCTTCTCTTTCGAGAGCCTAATGCCATAGCTCAGAAAGCTGCTTTGTTCTCTGCTCTCTACCTCCACCCTTCCCGGCATGGCCTCCATGTTTGGGGGAGACCAAAAAGGGTAGCCCTTGGGAGGAAAAATTCATTAATACTTTAAAGACATTTCCCCACCCATTCATGAGTTGGTGATGTCACCTTCTCTGGGCCACCTATTTTACTATCTTCCACCACCTCCAACTTCATAATGTTAAAAAAGGGAGGAAGAGGCATTCAGAGGATTGCAAATATCGGACAGTTATTACCCTAAGACAACACTTACAGACTCCTGTTTTGTAAGAAAAAAACCTGATAGTTGATCTTGAATGAAGTTTTATGTTCCTATTCATTTTGATTTCTTCTCCCTCACCCTTTCTGTAACTGAAGGGAGCTGGTAGCAACCAGTCTGCTTTGCAACTCAGCTGGTGAAATGCCTGGAGAGCAGCCAGTGGCCTGGGTTCAATCCACTGATAAGTCATCAATTTCTTTCTCACCCAAAACATCTGGTTTAGGATCTTGAGTTATGAGCTAATATTAAATATAAAAGTTTATAGCATCACATATATAATACTGTTGATTAGAAACATCAAGAAAAGTAATTGACTGGCGGGGACTCAGTGTGACCAGCTGGTGGAACATCTGGATGGGATCCAAGGGGCCTGAATTGAATTCCCAATTCATCCATTCTTTCTTGGTCAGTTATATCTGGTCTGGGATCTTTAATGATTTTGACTCTTCTACTTGGATACTTTCCCCCAGTATTTTATTTATAAAAATGGGAATTTATGTTCCACCTCACTGAAAAAAGGCTAAGATAAATTAATTAGAATTTTTATCCTTTCATACATGCATTCCTGAGATTTTTAGTTGGTTTGACCATTCCTTAGCCTCCCTGCACTACTAGACATGACCACTTGGTGGCAGTGTACACTCATTTTTCCTCCCCCTGAGCATTGTTGAAAGGAGAATCATCCTATTCCCCCATCTGGTTTGCAGCTGAGCTGCCCAGGAGAGGGAGGAGCTCCCCACAGGTTTGGGGCTTTGTTCTCAGGGGGCTTCACTTGACATACATTCTCAGTTCTTCACAAAATACCGTAGGCAACTGCATTTCGATGCCCAGTAACCTGAAGTTAACCACGTCTTTTGTTGACACTGTATGTTCTGTTTGCTGAATAGTCGCTTTCTGCCAGAACAACAGGGAGTTCTCCATCTGCCTTGATACATTAGGGT